ACTTATATGTGGAATCTAAAAAAAATGACAAATTGTTTTAACTTTCATTTTTTCAAAAAAATGAACTTACTTACAAAACAGAAACAGACTCACAGAATTAGAAAACTTACAGTTATGGGCAGGGGAAGGATGGAGGGGGAGGGATAAATTGAGAGCTCCAGATTTGCAGATACAAACTACTATGTATAAAACAGATACACAACAAGGTCCTACTGCATAGCGCAGGGAACTATATTCAATACCTTATAATAGTCTACAATGAAAAAGAAAATGAAAGGAATATATATATGTACAACTGAATCACTATGCTGTTGTACACCAGAAGTTAACACAGCATTGTAAACCAACTGTACTTCAATTAAAAAAAAAAAAGAAGTTACCCAGGGGGAGGACTAGGAAGGGAGAGGGCAGCAACATGGTGGTGGGTCTCATCCATCAGTGGCACCAGACAAGGAGTCAGGCTGTGGCAAGGAGCTGGGAGGGCTGGGGTGATGCTGGCAGTGGGGGTCACTGTGTCCAGATTTCCAACTGTTTTTTCTAAGAGCAATGAGGGAGGGGGCACTGAAGTTTGTAAACAGAAGAGTGGTATAATTCAATTTATCTTTAGATTCTTGAAGAAGGAATTGAGGAATACCATGTATTCATTCCCTGTCCACCCCAGAGAGCATTTGTTGAGAACTATGCTGGGAGGCTGAACAAGTCTGAAGGAGTGAGCTGAATTCCCCCCAATTTTAAGGTGAATTAGAGGTGGGATTTGTGGGCCAGATAAGGGACAGAAGATCACAGCTAATGAGACTTGATCAATGAATGAATAACCTCTGATCAATACCCGAGACAGAGGGACCTAGAAAAAAAAGTCAAAGGAGGATTTTGAGGCATTTTCCAGGACAGTGTGATATATAACTCCTCTTTTCATCTTCCAAATGAATGTTTTCCCAACCCTGCATAGCCCCCTCACACAGCTGGTGCAGATGGAGGGCAGACACCACCCCAGAAACGTGCACATGGAAGCTTTCAGATGAAGAATGGTCAGACAGGTGAAGAGTGGCCAGTGACTGAGAAGCGTGATGGACATCCCCCACTCCAGGTCCAGAAGCTCCTGAAAGGTGCCCTTAACTGCAAAGCTTTGCAAGTGAGTCCTCCTCCAAAGGCTAGCAGGAGATCAAGAGACCCCCCACCCCTCCCCAGGGTGTAAGATAGAGAGAGAGCCAGAGGGAGAGAAGGGGAAAGAGATAGAAGAGAAGTTTGTCATCTAGCCCAGGCCCCTCTCAGGTGGGACAGCTGGTGAACAAAGCAGGTGCTCAGAAGGTTTGTGGCTGTGTGAAATGAGGCTGACCACCAGCCCCAGAACCCTGGCACCCAGGGGAGGGTCACCCACCCCCACCTCCCAACTCCTCCATCTTCCTTGACTGCATGTGATGCCCGAGATCTGACTGGCTCAACTGAGGATGTGTCCCCTACTCCCTCTCGGCTCTGGCTCCTGTTCCCCACCCTCTTCACTGGGGAGAGAACGGGAGGCAATGGTGCTGGCCCTCAGGGGTGGGCAGTGGGGGTCCTAGAGAGACCCAGGCGAGGACGACTGTCCTGCTTGCATGGGGGGAACCCTTTCCCACACGTGTGCTGGATCCTCACTGCTCTGCTTCCCTTAAATGTGTCAGTGTCTGGAGGAGGGAGGGGATTTCCCTGTCCCCCCGCCCAAACCTGACCAAAAGCCATGGCCATCACTCCTCTTTGTAGGATGCAGATGCTGAGATGTCCCGAACCAAGGTCGATGCAAATAATCAATAAACAATCAAGAGAAAGAATAGGAAAGAGTTTTATTTGAGCCAAATGGAGGACTAGCCCAGAAGTCCTCTGAGAAACTGCTCCGGAGAAGCGTGGTTTCAGCACAATTTTATATCTTGTCAGAACAAAGAACATTAAACAAGTAAGTCAGGGATACATTTCTTCAAGTTTGCAGAAAAAAAAAAACAGCCCAGCACGTACACACCCAGCCTTGGCACCTGGGACTTTGCATCCAAGGAGGACCAGCACTGGTGTCCCAGGAAGATGGGCATTTAACCTGTATTTTTAACATGGACAGTCTTTACTTCTGGTCAGTGTGTCCTTTTCTTTAAAGACAGTGGATGTACAATGTATGTTCAATCGGCAGCAAATGGACTGTTCCAGTGAGCATCAAATTCAAGTTAACTCATGTATAAGCCAGAATTGACTTCTCTGTGTCCCCAGATGTGAACGTTTCTTTTATCACTGGCCGTGACAACAAAGAAAAGACCTCGTACAGACAAGAAAAATAAAAAATAAGGTGTAACACAAGCAGCATCTCTAAAAAGTGGCTGCCAGTCTGGGGCAG